CGGGGCTCTGGGCTGTAGGCGGCGCTGTGCAAGCCCGGGAACTTGTTGAGTCTGCTGCCCCTGAAGCCGCCTCTGGAGCAGCTGGAGGGCGGGGACCTTGCGTGTCCTCTAGGGAGGGGGTGGCTGTGTGCTAGGCCCACCCGCCCAGCCCTTGGGGCTTGGAAATCCCGCAGCGCCTGCCCCGCGCCGCACCTGGGGGCTGCTGTGGAGAGGGGGGTCCGGGGAAGTTGCCCTGTGGAGCCCAGCCCAGGGTCAGCCCCGGTGGTGAAGGGAGGCTGACAGGCCAGCCCGGAGTGGCCTGAGGAAGGAGGCGCCTGCCCGGTCTGCTGCCCCTGATACTTAGGAACAGTCCATAGCGGGCGCCATGGCCCCTCGGAGCCAGCACCGCCCCCGTGTGCCCCAGCACTGCAGGTGGCCAGGCTCACTCTGCATCTGCTTCAGGGTTCCTTCCCAAGCCCACCAGGGAGCAAGTCTCCTGAGCTCAAAGCCCCTGGCCCAGGGGCCTCCCTCATTCCTGGGTGAACGTAAGAAAGCATGCAAACCTGTAAAGAATTTGGTGACTTTATTTGAGCCAAACTGTGGACAGTTGCCTGGAAGGAGAATCTCATCATATTGGGATAGTGCTCCAGGGAATGGCGTTGTTGTTTTTCACCTTGTTTTATACGTTACCATCAAAAGAGGAGACATAAGTGGGTCACATGAACTCCACTGGTGATTGATTAGGGAGGCGGGAGGAAGCCAAGCAGGGAAACCTCTGGGATTGGATGAAAGTAAAATGATAGACACCTGCTTCTTTTACTTAGGTGGATGCAGGATGGTTAACCTCCAGCTAACTCAACAACAGTGAGGGGACTTGTGGTCTCTGCTGAGTGGTGTCTGTGCTTTGAGGGGTCCAGAGAAAGGGAGTTACTTGGACATTCCAAATACATGTTATCTTTGATGCGAAAAGACGATAGACTCCGTGAAAGTAAACATGGGCCTTTGTCGGGGAAGATACCGGCCTAGGACTTGAGTGCCCACCATAACTGCTTTTGGGTAAAGTTTTAATTTGAGACCATCGTTGGGGTTACTTGGAGTTTGCAAGACCGCCACGCAGGCCTCGCCTGAGCTTGTCACGTTAGCATGTGGCCCCTTTTTGTCCACGCCTGGCAGGCTCTGGGGCCTGGGCCTGGGCCTGAGGAGGGCAGGCCACAGGCCTCATGGCTCCCTAGACTTGGGGCTTGAAGTTCGTTCTCCATTGATATACTTGCAAGTAGCCACAGTCATTAGTCGGAGTCTCTGTCAGGAAAGGACAGAGTGACGGTGGGCCCAGGTCAGGGGCAGGCTTTCGGGGAAGCGTGGGGAGGCCCCCTCACTCACTCACACACACAGGGGCATTCACCTCTGCGGGCACATCTCCGAACCGCTGGCCCTTGTGGCTGGGACCCAGCCATGGCTCAGTCCTTGGTTTTGAGTGAAGGGAGCCTAGTGCTGTGCTTTCCAGGGTGTGGGTTCTTTATAAATGGCTTCGTATGAGATGCTTTGTCTTTATGTGGATGCTTGTGGTGACGTGTCCAGATATTCCAGAAGAAAAACATCCTAAACTCTCCTCCTCTCTCCTCTTACCTCTCAGCATCCTTTGGGGCACAAGTGCCATCCTTGGGCATCCATACACCCCCCAGGAAGGGACTCCTGAGCCTGTGCACCCAGACCCTTCCCACCCCGGTCTATTTATTACCCTTCTTAGCCCCTGTCCCCCACATTGAGTTTCCAGCTAGTTTACTGTCTGGATGGCCAGTAATGCTGTGCGATCTGAAGGGAGAGATAGGGTTCTATTCATGCTAATCTGAGGAGATGTGCGAGCAGCCTGGAGCCCGCTACCTCATGGTTCTTCCTGGAAGGGGGCTGAGGTGGGGGAGGTGGAGGACTTGGGGCCATTAATGCCAGGTGGGAGGGCCCATCCCCAGAGCTCCCTCCAACATCATCATCTCTGGGGATGCTCTGTTGCTCAGTCATTCTCCCAGACGTCTAGGGAACTCTGCAAATCCTGCGTTATTGCGAATCCATCAGGTCAGAGCCTGCCTGCCATCTCTTAAACATGTCGCTGTGCATCGAGCCACCGGGACACAGGGGACTGTGCTGGGAGTGAGGAGAGCTGACTATTCAGGGGCCTCAAGTGAAGACAGATAAACATGGGTGTGTGCCCCGCCTCGAAGGGCACAGCCACCAGGGGCAGTGTGAGCCAGCCACAGTGGCTCCAGGGAAGGTGTTACTTGAGACCCCATGGTGTATGCTTCTGGGAAGGAAATGAAAGGCTGAAGTTGGAGGGGTCGGAAACCCCACTTCATGAGAGGGGAGTTGAATTGAACTTCTTAGTTTCACCAAGACTATTAGCCGCTCAGCGGTCTAGGAGACTGAGAGTTGTTTTTCTGAGTCTGTTAAAATCGCTGGTAACTCCCCCTCCCTTTTTGAAGGAAGAAACCATTAGTCCATTGGATTGGTTGACCAAGTCTTTCACTTCACAAGCGTAAGGATCGATGAGAGCTGGTTTCAGTGTTCCTGGGGCTCTAGAGAGGTGCTCCGCTTGGGCGAGGTTGGTGGGTCGTCACCTTCCAGGCGGTGCTGTACTGGGGGCTGGTGGGCGAGTCGCCTGCCGCCTCCTCCGTCCTGTAGGTGGCCGCTGTGACCTTCATGATCCAAATCTAATCCAGGGGGGGAGCAGACTCTTCCAGGTGAGGCTGGCTAAGGGGCTGGAAAGCCAGCGTCCCTCCGAGCCGGCCAAAGGCACCCCTCACAAAACAGGTGATGTGCCCAGGCCCAAGGAGGACACCTCTGACCGGAATTAGGTCAAGAGGGGATAAAAATGGCTTTGAAATGTCAGTGTCTGCTCTGCTAACCCCGTGTGCTGGTCTGCACCCTGTCCATGGCCCGTCTGCCCTGGGGCACACAGAGCCGAGTGCTCTGGGTCTCAGTGCAGGACTTCCTGGTGGCCCTCCATCCCCACCTTCGGCCTCACAGACACGGAGGACCGGGGAGGGGGAGAGCACAGAACCTCCCGATCCCAGTCCTCCGCTCCCGTAAACACTGATTGACAGTTGCCATGGTCGCTTCGTTCTGTGCCTACGGTACGCCGGCCTCCGGTCTGCGGCAGGGTCTCCTTTTGTCCTCGCCAGACAACCATGAAGTAAATACCATTATACTCTGAGAGGAGGAACAGAAAAGTTAAGTGATGTCTCCAAGGTCACACAGCTAGGAAGTGGCAGAGCTTGGAGCCAAGCCCTGGCCCGCAGGATGTCACGGTGCAACCCCGCCCCGCCTCCGCCCCGCCCAGGTTTATGCTGTTGACGTGAACTTGAGATTTGCTCAGGAACACACCTCATAATTCAGTGTTCCTCCAAGTTTCCACCCACCACCGGACATTCTGGTCTCATTGGAGGAGTGACGTGGACCAATGAGATCCTTTCCTGGTACTTACCTGGCCCCAAGCCACACCAGGTACCCGTGTCCCACGTGGACCATACACCTCCAGGCTCCGGGGGGTCTGCTTGGCTCTCACATGGGACGGGTCCAGACCGGAAATGTTACCTGCAAATGGTGAGCTCCCGTAAAGCAGCTGGCATCTCCCGCAGGCTCATTAGGAGTCTCCATCAGGCATCCTCCTCTCTGTCACGTGCCTCATCTCATTACTGGATCGATTATACTTCCACGTAAAAATGGTCGCTGGACTGGCAGTAGACCATCAGCACCGCATATTCAGGTGACACCTTCTGCTCCTGCGATATCATTCAGCGATATTATCGCCCATTTTCTTCACTGACGAGCGGCTATTAAAATCATCCAACTCTACACCACAGAAGACCAGCTCGCCTTCTGCTGCGGCCGGGGCAGTGACACTGTGTCACTGAGGTCCTCAACGGTCCTAAACACCCGCCGGCGCTCTGGTCACCTGCCTTTAAATGTATTTGACGTTAAATGTGCTCACGGGGTCACAGTAGTCCGGGCCATGGAGGATGGGCAGCAGGCTGCTGTCTGTGGGAAGCGAGCATTTTGTTTTCAATGCCGAGTTCCCGATGGAAGAGTGTAGGACTTAAGAAAACACCTCCAGTTAATGTTTGATGACCGCTAAGGTCACACACAGATTTCCAGCTCCATAAATATTTTCACAAATATTTCATTTTTCCTGTGTTCTTGCCTCCTTGGGGAATTAAATAGGTCATAACGTTCATGCCACTGCGCTGGAGGCTAGCAGACCGCCCGTCTCCCATCTGCCTAAATTGAGGGTTGGCACCCTTGGGTCCACGCTGCCCTCTATGGGTGCACACCTGCCTGCTCTCTGCAGGTCTCAGCTGTTCCTCCCCGGGGACCTGTAACTACTGGGAAAGTGTTCATCACGGAGGTATTCGCACACACGGCCCACACAACTGCAGTTTCTCCCCGGGTTCAAAGGCAAGAAGACGTTTTTAAATGTTGTTTAGGATTCTTTCTTCTTTTTAAAATGCTTTTGTGCAAAATGCAGTGTTCCGCGGTTCTCATTGATGTGGTGAGAAT